TCTCCCAAGTCAGCCCGCTAGCAAACGAAGTTCACTAATCAAGTGGACTTATTTACAAGCAGCAAGTTGTGCGAGTCTATTGTTTGCCACAATCTTTGCATGGGACAATAATTAAACTTAGATTTATAGCTTTATGTGATAGAAACACATATACACCTCCCTCCCTCCCGCCCTCTAACAAGCAGCAATTTGTGTGAGTTTATTGTTTGCCTCGATCTCTGCAAGTGATAGGCTGCATTTAAATCGAATCAACAAGTTGTTATACTTTGATGTAAAGCTTCACATGATAGCAATACACATATATACCGCTCCCTCCCTCCCTCCCTCTATCTCCCTCTCTCTCTCTCTCTCTCTCTCGTCCAGTTACAGAATTATTTCATGGCCCGGGCTCAGCTGGCTCAGCTGCACCCTCAAGTTCTTCAATTTGCTTGATTTCTTTTAATGTCAATCAATTCTAAGGATGGACGGTAAACTATCCTGCTTGCACGCAACAACTATGGCTTCCCAAAGCTAGTTAGTTATAGTTGAGAACAATTGAAGTGGAAGCCATTGGTCAAGCCAATTATGTAACTTATTGTTGCTAAACCCAATAGAAGTCTTCGCTCTTTTGCTCACCGGAAACATTACGTCATCTTATGTGATAGAGAACGCCCTTCCGGAGAAAGCCTCCAGAAACAAGACCAGACGTGATTATTGCTTATCTTCTGTTCCAATATTTGGCCGATTATACAATTGAAGTGTCTTATGTTTCTTACAGGTATAGAAGATCTGGAAATTGAAGTAAGAATGCGCAGTTAAAATCCTAGAATAGAGGGGTCACGAGTTGCAACAGGAAATTCAGACAGGCCATGCATAACGTGGGTAAAAGATTACGTACCAGGAGGAGGAGGAGGAGGACTGAAGCTCCGGTCCAGATGCTAATCTCTGGTAGTCGAATTTGGTCCTTCAGACCCTGATCACACACACCCTTGATTGACTCCGGCTACAGCAAAATTTCCACGGCCGCTCGAGTTCTTATCCCTCGATCTCCATCTTCTCGTTCTCGTTCGCATGGAAATTTCGAAGCGGTGTGATACGGCGGGATGAAAGAAGGAAGAGGAAAGACGAGAGAAGGAAGAAACCACGCGATTAAAGTATAAGAGAAACTTTAGAAACCGAGAGTGCCCCCTCGATTGCCGTTCTCTGGCACATCTGCACCGTTCGATTCTTCAAACGAGCAAAGGACCACCATCGTTGTATTATTTACGTAAGTGGAAAGCAAACTAATTTCGGATATATCGCCGTCTCCCACGTCCGAGGTCCCCCCGTGACGAGGGTGATGTTTGCTGGCGGGACAAAACGGGAGGATGTTTGGAGCCGACCCACCGAGCGGCCGCGCCGGGATCGGAGGCCAGCGACGGTATGCCGCCGTTGGGCCGGCCCGGTCACGATCCCCGACGCCGGTGTCAGCCAGCGCCTTGATCATCGCCCGACCGGCGCCGTATAGCCTGACCTACCCGACCGTCGTCGACTCCAGGAGCCTCGCCGTGGACTCCGAATCTGGGACCCCCCATTTCTCGCAAGGACTCGACTCACTCGGTAAATCGGGCGAGATTCAGCTCAGAAGCTGGAAATTTTCGCTGCTCAACTAGCGAAGAATCTTGTTTGAAGACAGAGAGGACGTGCGCGAAGCGCGCGAAGTGGAACTGAGCTGTGGAGGGAAAGAGATGATCTGCAGTTGAGAGTGGCAAGTGATGGCTTATCATCAGCTCTTCGTATCTTGGGCCAAGTAGAAAGCCCCGTGGGTAGTCCGGTCCATCGCTGAGGATTGTCAGCAGATTATGGCCCAAATGCGGGGAGTGTCTCTAGCCTTTTGTTCCAGGGAAGCTAATCAGCCCGCAGACTGGGTTGCGAAGGCATACCGAAATGAGCCTCTGAGCCCGAATTGGATTTCCGTGTTCCCCCCCATCCTCTTCGGTCTTTGTTGTGTTATGATTTCGAACCCTCCTGTGGTCTACTTTCAAGTTATCAATGAAATTAAGGCACTTTTCCGATCATAAAAAATAAAAATAAAAACTAGTGAAGAATCTACCCAGAGAGAGGGGGGTAAGAGAACATTGGACAGATCGTTACAGAGGAAGCGCAGAAAAAGTGAAAAATAGGAAAACCGAAAACCGAACGATCCGATCCGAACCGAATTGCGTTTTTCGGTTCGGATCTAATCGGTTCATGTTGCCTTTCGGTTTGGAGCAAGCACACATCTAAATGGTTCGGTTCGGTTCGGTTCATATTTTCTGAAACGAACCGAACCATTGACACCCCCACCATAAAGTTACTAACAATTATTGCAGACTTACTTGTTAGTCTATACGTAAACTTACTTTTCTATATGAAAAGTTACTAAAGATGTATCGAAAAAACAAATTTATTTCCTGATTGCTTGATTTGGATATTGGCATTTCGATAATTTTTATAGGAGAAGTACGATTATTGCGACCCTCGCGATGGGTAAAATGCTAAATCTTTCAAAATCCTTCTCGTTTGAAAATCTTTGGAAATCCCATCTCCTGCCGGCTCCTCACTCAAACCCTTCCGACCATGTATCCGGGAAGTCGACCTCGGAGCATGAAGACTCTTAACCTACACGAGTTCACGTAAATTTGGGACAGCCTAATGAACAGCGGAAGCACTTCTTGTGGGTCATACGGCCAAACTCCATCCCTAAAGAAAGCAGCTCCTCCATCTTTGAGGAGCTAAGGGAGGCGACACCGGAGAAGGTGTGTGTCGTAGGGTGGGCCCGCAAGAGGAGGTTCAGCACCACGGTGCCGTGTTATCAATGCACATCAAGTGGAACTCAATGCTTGAGAGCATGGTCGCCAATAAGCTGATGGTGTGCTGGCCGTTCTTCATTGACCGGAGGGTGAACAGCCAATTCGTGAGTCACGTGTGAAAGGTCTAGCTCGAAGTTAAGGTTGTATGCAATGGGGGGAAAGGATGATCTAAGGCAAACTTAGTACAACATTGTCTTTAGACCCCTTTTCACCCTCACTTGTCGGAACATGGCCTACCAGCAGTGACGGCATGCTACGATGATCGTGTAGTGGTTGGAAGTGATGACAATCGGCTATCTTGGTGGTGTCCTCGGGCAGTGCAGAGAAAGCAATAGCCGATGCTTCACTCCATCACTCAGTCAAAAGATAATAGGAATTGTTAAGTTATTTTTTAAATTTCCAGTCTGGGTTTATCCCACCCCTAGGCCGGATTTCTTTCTCAGAATTTTATCCAAATGTATCTAGGTTTATCTGGTCTGGAGAATGTCATCAAACATCGGATAAAATAATTTGTTATCTACTCAAAACCAGGCTACCAAACCCGGCCTAGAGTGTCCCTCGATTGTGCAACCGCAATGTTTCATAGTCGGCACATCTGCATCGCTCGATTCCCAAACAAGCAAAGACCGTCATCGGATTTGGGAAGTTGAGAGCAACTCGAAACCCTGCTAGGCAGATTTCCAGTTAGATTCTTGAGAAATCAAGTTATTTTGCGTTCAAAATTTCCGGAACCGCACGGCGCGTAGCTGTCATGGGGGATCAGTAGGGAGCAGTTGCACAATAGACCAACTAACGCTTCCCTTCTTCCGCACAAAGCATTGCACCAAACCAGACGCACTCGGATAGTAACAAGTCTATATAGAATCAAGCAAATGTATGAAGTACAGACACACCATGATCTACTGATCTGAACTGAACTCTCCAGCTAATTGCTAATCAAGGCGACAATGATTTCCACAATCCAATGGAGTTAACAAATTCTACCCGAAATTGATAGTGTATAGAGGAGGATGCCGGCATGCAAATTCAACACGCGTGTTCATTGTTCTAGGCCATACTAAAAGCACAAGAAGCCGAGCACCGTACATAAAAGTCAAGAGCCTCAACTTCACAAGACCTGCAGTTATCACAAGAAAAGTCCCCGCTAGTGTTTGAATCAGAGGGTGCTATACGTGTCTAGCTAGGGTCCACATTACATTGCTCCACCATTCCTTTCAGGTCAAAGATAAATCATAGTTTTGTGTTCGCTGTAAAGCTAGATCCCAGAAATCTCTTCTCGCTACTAAAAGTTCTTACAAATTTTCCTCATCTATCTTCTGAACAAAATTCTGTTGATTTCTTATACCCCTAGATTATGTTAACCACAACCTCCTACTTATTTCCCATCTTAATCAGATAAAAATCAGATTCATGAGATATTCCGTTGATTTCATCGGCTATGTAAAACGCTAGTCAAGATCCAAGTTGATGGTCCAAATATGAAGTTACTAGAGAAGAACTCGTGCCATGTGCGGGCTAGAAAAAACTTCTATCTTTCATCAATTACTATGAACGTGCTATCCTAAACACTCTTTTTCTTTGCTATGCAGATTCTCTTTGTAAGAAAAATGTAAGGAAAAGTTCTGATCAAACTTTCTTTTCTGATTATCAAGTTTTTAATGATAGAAAACTATGACTCATTCTAATTATTTTCACTGTATATCCTTATTCAAGAACTAATTTCCCCTAGGTTGTCATTAATTGTTTTGTGAAATGAATTTTGTTTTCCTTCACGCTTACATGAAGTTTTCGTGGAACACTTCCAATTGGGGCCGCCCATTAATATTTATACCATAGGCAGTGTCTCCTGAGGAAGGATCATCCATGCTTCCCCCAAGAAGTCAGATATCCTTCGAAAACCGGTTTTCAAGCTCCATCCAGCTAAAAGGGTCAGGAAATGTCCACAATCGAAGCAGATATCATTCCTCACATGCATATGAAACTTCCAGAGAACATAAATCATAAGTTAAACTGTCAATTGAAGAAGGCAACAAAACAAAATTCTACCGATTTGATCTAGCCTCTGTGGTCGATGGTTTTTTGGACCTGCATACATTGAATTTTATACCAAACACACAAATCATGAAGTCTTGGATAATGAATGGAGTAAACAATTAATGGCATTTGTCGGAGCTATTTGCAATTCCTCACAAAAACGCACTATCGACCATCCAACATCGTCACCGTGACTGCATTAACTGTATGGAGTTCTTCATGCCTCAGGTTTGCGCCTAAGTCCATTGAACTTCTTTCCATGAAGAAACCAGGCTGTTTAGGTCGAGGCAAGCTTGCACTTTCATTTCCTAACATGGCGACTACAAAGGACATCGCTGGTCTATCGTTGGGGAACTTCTGCACGCATAACAAGCCGATGTGGATGCATCTTTGTACTTGACGTTCCACCGAATCATACAAGCACCCATCAACGAGTTCCATGGCTCTGTCTTCACTCCAAAGCAACCATGCCTCAAAAAAATCGCATCTTGGGCTTAGTAATGCAAGACGAAAAGAGAGAGATAAGGTTGAGAGAATAGCGTATGCTTTGGATCTTTTCTCGTACATGTCCGAGAAGGTTATGGTGATGATTTGGGTGGCATAATCCTCTGTTTCTTTTGCCGCTTACAATCTCTAACAAAAGCACACCAAAGCTAAAGACATCGGATTTCACAGAGAACTTCCCATCGAAGGCATACTCAGGGGACATATAGCCACTGTAATGACAAAATGATTGGTATTAGTCTTCTAACATAACATGCAGTCCTATTTAGAGATTTTCTGGAACAACAAATTCTTACTAAGTTCCAATGATTCTCTTTGTTTTTGCTTCTTTCTCATCACATGCAAAAATTCTTGCCAACCCAAAGTCCGAGATTCTAGGGCTTAGGCTGCCATCCAATAAAATGTTGCTACCTTTGAGATCCCGGTGAATTACTCGAAGTTTAGAATCATGGTGTAGATAGAGAAGTCCTCTCGCAATCCCAACGACAATGTCAAAACGTTTTTCCCAGTCTAACAATGAGCATCTTTCACGATCTGCATATGCAGATAAGTATAGTTCAGTCAACCAGAGAAATTAAGTTCGGTGCACAGATAGCTCATGATCAAGTAACATCTTTGAATAAAGGGTCTAGAGGCCTAACCAAAGATAAAATAATTCAAACTCTTGTTTTCCATGTACTCATAGACCAAAATCGTTTCGTCCCTCTCCATGCAATAACCTAGAAGCCCGACAAGATTCCGGTGTTGAAATTTGGCTATCAGAATTGTTTCATTCTTAAACTCTTCAAGACCTTGTCCTGAATTTCTTGATAGTCTCTTCACTGCTACTTCTTGGCCTGTGCAAAGATTTCCCTGCATATTGTGGTTTTGGGTAGACATGTTAAAAAATGAAATATCATCACTCTGTTTGCAGTAACCGTGTCTTGGAATATGCATGGCTCATCACCTTGTAAACTGGGCCAAAGCCACCAGCTCCAATCAGACCATCCTCAGAAAAACCATTTGTAGCATTAACATTGGTAGCCAGATCAAAAAGTGACAAATCAACATCTTCCTCCTTGATTTTCCAACCTGAAAAAGACCTTAAGGGCCTTAAGCTCACTTTGCATATTTTGGAGGTATACATTCACAGAACCAGCTGTACTGACCTTTGCTCTTTATTCTGCAATTCCAGATTCGAAACCAGTACACCATGGCCGATAGAAACAAAGCAGCAATAGCTGACATCAGTAAGGCAATGACCATCTTTTTCTTCTTGGCAGAACTATTAGGGAAATCTATGATAGAGAAGACAAATGAGATTAAATGCTATAAGCTGGTTAAAAGATAGAATGTCTAGAGAAAAAAGCAATGAATGGCAAAATAAGTACCTAGTTCAGATTTTGGTAGGCGGATGTATAGAGTTTGCCCATAGTTATCTTCTTCGTACTCCTTAATGTCAATTAGGCTTCCAAACCACAAGAGACGACGGCTACCTCCTCCTCTAACATCTGAATTAGCATAAGCTGCACATGAACAGTTCTTTAAGCACTTGGCCTCCCATTCCTCGAGGCTCATATTTTTGTCCAACCAGAACTCTAACAGGTCAGGAATTTTCACTTTGGAAACTTTGAGGAACCCTTCTTCCTTCGAACAATTTATTGGCACTCTTCTCATGCATCCACTGGACCAATTAAGGACATCCCATTCTTCTGGAGACTTTGGTACAAACCCCTTTAAGCAATCGCATATGGGAGCTCTGTTAATTCTACAGATACCACTGGCTCCACAAGTACCGTAAGCATCGCATGGATCGTTGGGCACTGAGTACATGATATTCCAGGCATAGCTTCTTTTACTTGCAACATAGTACTGGAGCGACCCTGAATGGTTCATTGTAAGTACTTTTGCGATATATTCACTTTTTCTGAGGCAAAAGTACACTATAAGTGCCATAACTTGTGTACGGCGATCACTTTGGTGCCATAACTTTTTTTCGGATCACTTTGGTGCCAAGTCGGAGGAAAATCGATCACTTTAGTGACTCCCAAAATTCCGCCAAAAAGCTGACTGGCATTTTTATTTAAAAAAGAGTGTGACGTGGATATTGGGGTCAACATTTGATGTCCACGTGGGAGCAAAACGACGCGCCAGCCACGTGGACAAGAAGGACGACGTCGTTCCATTTAGGATAGCAAACGACGTCGCTCGTCAAAGGTCTTAGCATCGCGTCGCTCGTCACACCCGCTTTGTCTCCTCGTCGGCCCGCCGTGTCGCCCGTCGCTGTCGCCGCTGTGGCGCCCTCATTTCGTCGCCGTCACCGTCACCGCCGCTAACGCCGTCTCTTGCCTTCCTCGCGGTGGCGGCGTCGCTCCTCATCCCGTGGGACGAGCATCACTCGTCCCGTCGGCGTCGGTCCCGTCTCCGTGGCAAATTACGAAGGTCGGTCTTCAAATAAGGGCCGTTAATTTCTATTTTGCTGAATTGATCGACACATTGTGCTTCATTGTCGGATGTTTCACTCAATTAATTGGTAGATTAGGCCGCCTTCGGGAAATTAGGGTTTGAAGTAGGAAATTAGGGCTCGAACTTGGGAAATTGGGGCTCGAACTTGAAATTAGGTCTTGAACTTCGAAATTAAAGCTTGAACTTCATAAATTATGGCTAGTTATTCGGATATTAGGGCTTGAAGTGGATTCGATTGTGTTGGTGCCGGGCGAGTATATGCGATAGATTGTAGTCCATGTGGGGACCTCTGTCATTGTCACCCATGTAGTCCGATGGTGGCTTTTTCAATCTTGTCGACCATGCGGACCTTCATGAAGTTCGCTCTTTTTCCTATGGGTGTGGTCCCGAAAGCTAAAATATTGAATTTTTGGCTTTTTTCCTTCAATGCAAGGTCGATATGGGGATAAAGACACAATTATCGGCATCATTGTTCGCTATGGAGGAGAATTTGTCATCGGCACTGACGAGTGGGAATACTTTGGGGACTTGAAGGTACTCGTTTATTTCGATAGAAGCAAGCCAAAGATATATTAATCTCATGAGGGATATAGTTCAACAATTAAGATGTAAAATAGGAAGTTTGCATTATTGTGTTCGAAGCACTTGAAGGACGGATTAGAAACTTTCATGATGATAATGGTGTTAAGGATATCATCTACCATTATCTTCATGGAAAAGAAGCGTTGTGTACGTTGAGTCCTATAGTGATGGTGAATCGATGAAGGGCCGAGGAGGAGACGTAGGTGATGGTGCTGCTTTACCTAGTACTCGTGTTGGTGCTAGTTCTATTATAGATGAAGCGGACATGAGAGGATGAGAGGGAGGCAAGCCATGCGCAAGGAGTGAAGAGTTCACTGGATTTGAGTTCACCGGATTGTCGTGGGAAGTTGCTGCATCTAGTGAATCGATGATGAGGGTGTGACAAATGTAAATTTACCAAGTGAAGATGACAATGAGGAACTTGCACAATCAAGGCAAAAGCAAAGGGAATTTGGAAAAATCACAAATGCACTTGGAGGATTGCATGAAGTCGAACCAGACATAGCATTGATGGAGCTCCACCAAGGTAATGACACCGATTATGAAGAAAGTGGCTCGATGAACAGAATGATAATTCTGAAAATCAGCATGAAGATGATGATCCCGTTGTGCGCAGAAGGAAACGTAAGTATCCGTTATACGATCCTCGGCTCTTCTTCTTCGTGTTGACCGTAGGTCCGAAATTTTCCGATGCCAAACAATTCAAAGAAGGGATTATCAAGTATTCAATAGCCGAACAGAGGACTCTTCGTTCACTCAAATACGCAGGACTATGTTAGAGCAAAGTGTTCTCAACCTAGTTGTTCGTGGAAGATATATGGCGCACGTTCAAAGAGGGACGGGTCATTCCAAATTAGGTTATTACAGGAGGAACATACTTGTTCCATCGTGTTTGACAACAAAAGGGTAACGAGTGCTTGGTTGTCGAAGCACTTCTTCGATACCATCAAAGTGATGCCCGATGTGAAGAGTCCGAAGGCTAAAGCTGGGAGGAGCAGTAGGATTAACGTGTCACTCAATCAGTAAAAGAGCCAAGTATAAGGTGATGAGAAAAATTCTAGAGAGGTACAAGGAAGAATATGGTCAAATTTGGGAATATGTTGGAGAATGTAGGCCGCAAACCCGGTAGTCGAGTTTATGTTGAGGTTGTGGATCGGCCACCGCTAACCATGGGACTAACTTTGACCGAATTTATATTTGCTTTGATGCATGCAAGCGGGATTTGTTGCTGGTTGTAGACGAGTCATAGGGTTAGATGGATGTTTCTTGAAGGGTGTGTGCAAGGGAGAATTGTTGGTCGCCATTGGAAGGGATGGCAATAATCAGATGTTTCCAATTGCTTGGGCTGTTATGAAGGTAGAGAGCAAGAACACTTGGTCGTGGTTCCTGAAAAATTTGATGGCGGACCTTGAGATCACTAATGGAGGAGGTTGGGCATTCATGAGCGACCAACAAAAGGTAATGCGTGCAACCGCACAAACAATATTTATGACATTTTATCTTGCACATGCCTTTATTAATGCCTTGATGTATGAATTCTTGTAGGGACTTCTTCCCCGCTCTAGCCGAGTTGATGCCATTTGATGAACATAGGATGTGTGCGAGGCACATATATGCAAACCGGGCAAAGATCTACAAAGGGGAGAAACTACGAGCAATTTTGGATGATAGCTAAGAGCACCAACATGGCTGATTTTAGAATTCACAAACAAGCAATGCTTGACTTGACGAAGGACGTATGAAGCACTTTTTCAAACTCGAACCCGTGCATTGGTGCAAGGCCTTCTTCAAGAAGAATTCAAGAGCGATATCATTGATAACAATCTTAGTGAAGCCTTCAATGGCGTAATTTTAGAGGCGAGGTGCAAATCAATCATCGCATGCTTGAGGATATTCGAGTGATAGTCATGACAAGGCCGTAAAACAGAGAGATGAGGCCGCAAAGTGGACTGACAAGGTGGTCCTAGGATTGCTAAAAGATTGGATGACAACTTGGCGAGTAGTAGGTTCTGTCATCCTATCCGGAATGGAGATGATGGCTATGAGGTCATGGAAAAACAGACAAGTATGTTGTCCAATCGACAAACTAAAGTGCTCATGTCGAGCTTGGCAACTTTCTCGAATTCCCGCATACATGCCATTTGTGCCATCCAAGCGAAGTACCAAAATCCCAAGGATTACCCGCATGGTTACTACCACAAAAGCACATATTTTGTCGCTTACCAAGCACATGATGCACCTATTAGAAGTACAAAATTCGGGAGCCGACAAATCATGAAGCCCCTCATCCTTTACCACTTAAGAAACAAATGGGAAGGCCTAAAAGGAGACGAAGAAAGCAGGAGGGAGAGCCCATAAGTAAGAAGATGAGCAGGTCAGGTGTAGAGATAAAATGCTCATATTGTCGTGAGGTAGGTCACAACAAAAGTGGTTGTCATTTGAAGAAGCAACATCGCTGCTTCAACAAAGTGGAGGGACTCAAATTGGATCAAGTGCGCACAAGACAAGAACCAGTGAAGGGGCTGCCGAAAGGCATGCCGATTGTCTAGCCAAGGGCCTCGCCAAGGCCAAGTTCAAGAACCACCAAGAGCCAACCTAAGCCCAGGTTTAAGGGCAACCTCCTCCTCGATCATTGCACAAGCTAGGAGAAAATATCCAAGAAGCTATATGTATTTGTATTAATCTTTAGTGAGCGTACTTTGGCTTTAGTTGACATTGTTTTGTTCTTATCGCTTGAGAAGAAAACCAACTCGAACAAGCGCTCAGTTCCTCAAAGTGAGGCACCATATCAAACAAGAGGGGTCCTCGGCAGAAGATTAAGGCAATATGGTTATGGAATTTATACGGACTTCAATACTGGAGTGACTATTTTGCATGTAAGTTTTGTACATCTCATGCATTTCATTCGTGAGTTTTTCACTTTCATGAAAATATTGCTTCTTCTCATCCATGATTATGTTGTAGCCTGGGAGGAGTTCAGAGGTTCTCATATCTCAAGTTGGCCCAAGCCAAGAGTCAAGAGCTGCACCAAAAAGAATCCAACCAATGTCGCAAGCAGCTGGTCCGAAGAGAAGAAGGGTGGCTGCAGAGAAGAGTGTTCGTAAACCGCCACCAACAAAAACTCAACACTAGTTCCCGATCAACCAAAGACATGCGACGCTCCAAAACAGCCACCAACACCAAGTAAGAAGAAGATAGTTGCTGCGCCTAAGAAGAAATCTCGAGCAAGAAGGCCGAGAACAACTCGTCGGTCCAAAGATTGAAAAGATGCATGGTTGGAGCGTTCAAGAAGAAGCATCTAGTCTGTTGAAGAAGATGCACTCAAGTAGTTCAAGAAGAAGCAACTCCAGTTGTTGAAGAAGATGCACTCCAAAGCGCTTTAAGAAGAAGCAGCTCACTATTGAAGAATCGCGCATCTTCGAAGAACAACCGCAGTTCATCTCAGTTC